AGCCAAACAGGAAGTGAGAGGAAATCCCTGCAAATTAACCACTCCTCCTGAGGATTTACCCCCCCCCCCCCCCCTTCCTGACCAGGCCATTTTTTTGTGTTACGGGGCTGCGTTATTTTAACTGACAATTGCGTGGCCTTTCAACGCTGCACCCAAATGAAATTTACGTCCATTTTTTCCCACTAAAAGAGCTTTCTTTCGGTGGTATTTGATTGCGTGTGCGTTTTTTTTGTTTTTGTTTTTTTTTTTTTTTGCGCTATAAAAAACGACAATTTTGAGCAAAAAAACTATTTTTGACTTTTTGCTATTAAACATGTTCAGTAAAAAAAACAAATTTCGCCATAAATTTAGGCCAAAATGTATTGTGCTACATGTCTTTGCTAAAAAAAAAAAAAAAAAAATCACAATACGTGTAAATTAATTGGTTTACGTGAAAGTTATAGCGTTTACAAATGGCGGTATATATATTTTTTTATTTTCACTAGTAATGGCGGCGATCAGTGACTTATAGTAGGACTGCGGCGGGGCATTCTGACACTGGGGGGGAACTGACTTTGTGTCACTGACATCCCCAGTGACACCAATACAGTGATCATTAATAAAAAATGATGAAAAGTACTGACACTGTACTAATGACACTGGGCAAGAAGGGGTTAACATGAGGCTTGATCAAAGGGTTAACTGTGTGCTGGGAGTGTTTTACTAGGGGGCTGTGTCATGTGCTTCACTGTAAGCACACTGCTTTGATGGCTGTGCCCAAGTTAACAGGGAGAACTGTTAGTAAACAAAACGGTTCTCCTCCCCGTCTGAGATCCTCAGAAATCACGGGGGTGCTAGCGAGTAATCACCGGCTGGGACTCGGTGATTGACAGCCGCGGCTGTGAATGGCAGGACATGCGCATGGCTCACGCGCCCCCTACCCGGAAATGCAAACTCATGTGTATGTATATATGTGATTTTGCGCACCCGTGCCACCCTGTAGCAGTATTTCTGCTATAGGGCGGACGGGAAGCGGTTAAGGGAATCCCTTGGGTCCCCCATGTCACCAGAACTATTGTTCCTATCTGAAGATTTCGCCTCTACAGGTGAAACTCAAAAAATTAGAATATCATGCAAAAGCAAGATAGTTCAAGCCGTGATTTGTCATAATTGTGATGATTATGGCTTACAGCTCATGAAAACCCCAAATCCACAATCTCAGAAAATTTGAATATTACATGCAATCAATAAAACAAGGATTGTACATAGAACAACATCAGACACCTGAAAAGTATAAGCATGCATATGTACTCCGTACTTGGTTTGGGCCCCTTTTGCAGCAATTACTGCCTCAGTGCGGCGTGGCATGGAAGCTATCAGCCTGTGGCACTGCTGAGGTGTTATGGAAGACCAGGATGCTTCAATAGCTGCCTTCAACTCTTCTGCATTGTTCGGTCTCATGTCTCTCATCTTTCTCTTGGCAATGCCCCATAGATTCTCTATGGGGTTCAGGTGAGGCGACTTTGCTGGCCAATCAAGCACAGTAATCCCACGGTCATTGAACCAGGTTTTGGTGCTTTTGGCAGTGTGGGCAGGTGCCAAGTCCTGCTGGAAAATGAAGTCAGCATCTCCATAAAGCTCATCTGTGGAAGGAAGCATGAAGTGTTCCAAAATCTCCTGGTAGACGGCTGCGTTGACCCTGGACTTAATGAAGCACAGTGGACCAACACCAGCAGATGACATGGCTCCCCAAATCAACACAGACTGTGGAAACTTCACACTGGACTTCAAGCATCTTGCAGTGTGTGCCTCTCCATTCCTCCTCCATACTCTGGGTCCTTGGTTTCCAAATGAGATGCAAAAGTTGCTCTCATCAGAAAAGAGGACTTTGGACCACTGAGCAACAGACCAGGTCTGTTTTTCTTTAGCCCAGGTAAGACGCTTCTGACTTTGTTGTTCAGGAGCGGCTTGACAAGAGGAAGCCCATGTCCAGGATCTGTCTGTGTGTGGTGGCTCTTGATGCACTGACTCCAACCTCAGTCCACTCCTTGTGAAAGTCCCCAACACTTTTGAATGGCCTTTTCCTGACAATCCTCTCCAGGCTGCAGTCATCCCTGCTGCTTGTGCACCTTTTTCTTCCACACTTTTCCCTTCCACATAACTTTTTCTATTAATGTGCTTTGATACAGCACTTTGGGAACATCCAACTTCTTTTGCAATTACCTTTTTAGGCTTTACCTCCTTATGGAGGGTGTCAATGATGGTTTTCTGCACAACTGTCAGGTCAGCAGTCTTTCCCATGATTGTGATTCCTACTGAACCAGACTGAGAGACCATTTCAAGGCTCAGGAACCCTTTGCAGGTGTTATGGCTTAATTAGCTGATTAGAGTGGGACACTTTGAGCTGAAAATATTGCACCTTTTCACAATATTCTAATTTTCTGAGATTGTGGATTTGGGGTTTTCATGAGCTGTAAGCCATAATCATCACAATGATGACAAATCACGGCTTGAACTATCTTGCTTTGCATGTAATGAGTCTATCTCATATATTAGTTTCACCTTTTAAGTTGCATTACTGAAATAAATGAACTTTTGCACGATATTCTAATTTTTTGAGTTTCACCTGTATTACTTTTCTGGGGACAACCCAAAATTTGGGCTTTACTTTCACTTTTAGTAATAATTGTCAACAGCACAAATGGAGAGGGTGAATCTCCCTAATGGGGGCACAGGCAGCAATACAAACTGACAGGTGTTCTAATCTCTCTCCACTCTATCCAAAACTTAAAAAGAAAAGGTTTTGCCTTTAGTTATACTTTAATAGTACAGAAAGTTGGGTTCACCTTTCATTTACTGACAAATCGTTATCCGGATTTATCAAGCATATTTGCCTTCACTAATCACTGACTTATTATTATTATACAGGATTTATATAGCGCCAACAGTTTGCGCAGCGCTTTACAATATAAGGGAGACAGTACAATTACAATACATTTCAGTACAGAAGGAATATGAGGGCCCTGCTCGTGGAGCTTACAATTTAAAGGAATTTTCACCTCAAACAATTCCCAACAACTAGGTCTGTTCTTGTTTTTATTTTAAAATCTCATTTCTGTTTGAGAATCACACATGCATTATACTGGCAGAGGCACTCTAAGATTTCAGAAAATTTGGTCTTGTTGGATTGAAAAGCTAGACACTTCACTGAGATTAGCTCCCACCCTGCCTTGCTACCCAATTTTATTTTATTGCCAGTGGATGCTGATAGAGGAGCCCGATTTGGGAGGCTCATTGACAGGCAAAACCTAATTTCATTCCCAATCTTGTGTATTGCTGGTATTTGGCGTGTAGGTTACAATATATAAATATTTGATTCTACATTTAGGATGCTATGTCTGGTGAATAACCAATTCAGCTACTATTTGATTATGTGAGGGTACCGTTCATAACATTATAACAGTTTCCTTTTTCCTGATTAAGTCACAGCTTATGTATTACTTCCAAATGTTCACATCATGTGGCCTGCACCTTGTTACATAGTCAGACTGAAAAAAGAAAAGCCCATCTAGTTCAACTTTTCTCAACCTTTTTACCAAAGAGGATGCCTTGAAATAATTTTTCATATCTCCTGGAACCCCTGCTAAAAAACAATTAATGGGGGTGGGGGCTGATCTACTTTAACCAATGTATAGGCTGTTATTCTATTTCTGCTGTAGACATGTTTGAGCCACTACAACTTTGTATGTCTCTGGCTATATGTGTCAGCAAAAAAGCATATAATTTAAAAGAAACAGCAAAGTTTTCATAAAACTTGGTGTATGTAAAAAGCAATATTAAGCTGGTTTCACATTGATCCTAGCAAAAACGCATATGCATTTTAGCCACAATTTTAATGTTTTTTTTTTTACAGGAAATGTGACACAAATGCACCGCAGTTTTTTTGCCATATTTTCCATTTATTTCAAAGGGGAGGTGTGGTTTTTGGTGCGGGGTTTTGTTTTTTTTTCTGCACCAAAAATGCAGCAAGCAGGATTTTAAAAAGCACACCTAACACGCAATGGAGCATTGTGAAGAGTAGGAATACATGGTCACATGTTTTTTTTTTCTTTGGCTTTAGAGTATAAAATTACATAGTGATATGTGTAAATGAAAACTGAAAATAAAAAGGAATGAAGTGATAAAGTCCAAAGTGTATCAACCCTGCAGTGATGATCCAAGAATCCAGTCCAAGAAAATCAACATAAGGGTCTTGGTATCATATAAAGTAACAATTCATGATCCACGAAATCTCTCGGTGATCCACCACCATGCACACTTACCAGAGCAAGTAGACTCTCTCACAATAAGTAACAAGCTTGTGTGATTCCAAAGCCACCTTTCAGTAGGCTGGACCCATCTCAATAGGTTTCTACTTATCTCCGCTCACAGGATCAAACGCTCCAACGTAGTTTTCAGAAAAGGGTTTATGGCGGTCATATGTCAGCATCCCATTCGATTAACATATGCAGGGAACATCAAACATAGCCACATAGTGTAAAATATCCAGAAAAAATTATTATGAAAGTAATATACACTAACAAAATCAGAAGAATGACAGTGCTTATCAGAAAGATCCATCCTGGGGATCACATAGGCCACATCCTAGGTCCGAATACGCAATGATGTCACGAGCACAGGCTCTACCCAATGCATTTCTTCATATCTAACATATCATATCTGTCCAGGGCTTAGGAGAATGCCCAGTCATCGTGTCTTATATAGGATTTCAGCCAATGAGAACTTTCATCAAGCAAAAGCCTCACTATAAATTGCAGTGTGCAAGACCTTTAGAAAATCCATAATTCTGAGTTATTTGACCATTTTTATTTCCTGTGACAAATAGAGATGATGAATCTCCTGTGGAGACACAGGCAACCATACAAATTAACAGGACTCTTCCTTGCCCTGTCCAAAATTAAACTGTTTTCTGACTTTAGACACATATAGTGTACAGGTATTTCCCTTTTTAATTTATTTTTCTTCTTGATGACAGATACAAATATGAGTTGTGCCCGTTTCACAATATAACCCAGCATGAGCAGACCTATCGTTGGAACGCATACAGTGGTATTTTAGGGTAAGTGCTGATTTAAAAAAGAGATTTCTTAATTCTATCTGCCTTGTTCAAAAAGAGTATTTCATGCTTAATTACTAATCCTTAAATGTGGAAACCCTTAGCAACTAGATATAATTAATTCTTTAGTGGTCTGTTTTTTAAAATATGTAAATTCTGATTAGCTTTATTTTTAAGAATTTACACTTAATAGTAAAGAAATCTTAACAGAATAAGGTCACATATGTCTGTCACTTTTGAAACCACTAGCTTCTTTTTGTGTTCTGTTTTAGGATATGGCAAGAATGGGAAATTGAGAACAATACATTTACTGGCATGTGGATGAGGGAAGGGGATGCTTGTGGAACCAAAAATCGTCAGACAAAGGTTTGGCAGGATTCAGTGTGGTCCAGCTATAGGATATGCATACTAGACTGTGTGTTGTGCTTAAAGGCTCAAAATGTAGTGGTTAACGTAACAATGGACCACAATCGACTTTCTTAACCAGCCCTGCAAAATGCTTGAAACATGAACTTTTATCAGCAGATGTGTATTTTCCCATCTGATCCCAAGGAGCTGATGCATGCTGGCTGTATTTTACCACAGTGGTACTGTTTGGGCAGCACCAAGCCTCAAAATGTAAAAACTGTGTCTAGAACAGCATGATGTCTAAATACAGCCCTACATCTGTGAGCTTGCAGCATCAATTTGCCTTTATAGCAAACGTTTCAATACAAGTTCTTGGGGCGTTTACAAACATACATTTTAAGGTCAGGTTTTACATGTCTGATCATAAACATTGTGGGGTATGAACAGGCACATGCCATGAATACCAACCAAAATGACATTCCTCCTAGGATGTAAATGCAATATGTCATTGTATAGACCTTGTAATGGACCCAGACATAGAGGAATAAAAGGGCAAACCTAAGAGGGGGGAAAAGGATAGAGAGTAAAAAGGTACGCAACAAGGGAATAGGAGGTGCAGGGCAGAGAGGGATGAAAGGGAATTGAAGGAGCAGGAAGGATTAAGGGTACCCATATCCTTAGGAGTCCCATATGAAGCATCACATGAAATCAGAGCTTTAGTAGACCTTGCTCAAAGGTAGGTGGACGAATTCCTAACCCAAATGGCCCAAATGTTGGCAAAGTTAATCATTCTATCCAGCAGCTTTGCCATTGTTTTCCCATAGATCAAGGTCTTAGACACGACTCTGAACTTTGTGGAATTTTAGGGTCAGAAATTTGTGAGGATTTAGCGATGATTTGTTTGTTCATGATGAAAATGAACTTTAAAGGATAAGTTCACCTTTGGGAGCATGTTCCATTTTCAGGTCTCTCCTCCTTTCCTCTAACAGTGGGCTGGGGACCTTCTCCCTGTACCTGCTGTCACAATTTGAAGAGCACAGCTGTGCGGGGCTCCGCCCACACAGCTACCTCCTTCATTCTTTCTGTGAATGAATGCCTACAATCAGTCAGCCGCAATGAACTACGAGGGCACTGGTTAGCGCTCTTTCGTAATTAATTGAGCTTCTTGGGCTTGAGTAACTGTCTGCCCATATTGGAAGTACAGGCAGACAGCTACAATGACAGTCTGCAGAGCCTGACCATGTACTCACGATCAGCAATGCTTTACAGGTTCCTAAGAAAACAAATAGTAAATGCACATATTTATTTATTTTTAAGGATACATTTGCCTTTTGCACAAAAATAATAAATGTACATTTTTTTTTTTCGCAGGTAAAAAATGTGCATTTATTATTATTGGCTGCAGGAGCCGGTAAAGCATTGCACCAGAGGTCAGCAGATCTGTCCGTATATCTGCTTGAACATAAAGGATGAACAGGATGACAGGAAGAATCAAGGAAATACCACGGCACTCCAGAGTGCCGTGGTAGTTCATTGAGAACTACAAGCTAACATCCGCTAAGGCTGTCGGGACTTGTAGTTCCTTCATTCACAGAACACTGTGAATGAATGATGCAGCCATGTGGGGGGAGCCCCGCACAACCGCGTTGTTTGTTTTTAAATACTTGCAGCTAGTATGGGGAACTTCTCCCTGTACTTCTGTCACAAGGAGGGGGGGGGGAATCGGCAGTGTCTGCAGCATTGAGAACATGTTACATGTTCCACTCTAAAAATGGGTGGAACATGTTCCCAAAGGTGAACTTCTCTTTTAACCTAGAAAAATTTTGCAGTGGTTTTTTTTTTTTTGTTTTTTTTTTGTTTTGTTTTTTTAAAGGCGAACCTATCTTTTTAAAAGTTTTGAACTGGTTCTTGATGGCATCTTTTTTGGTTTTTGTTTTTTTTGTTGAGTAGTGCTATATTGGGGTTTAAGGGAATAGAAACAATGAAACCTTTTCAATTGTATATTTAGGAGACCGAGAATAAAGCAAATAAGAAGAGATACACACACTTTCAAGACATCTACTGGAAATAAATATGAGAATTCTGCACACTTTATGGATTCTTTATTGTTGCATTTCCTGGGAAGTAGTCTATATACAGTACTGTGCAAAATTTTAGGAAGGTGTAAAAATAAATGCTGTGAATTAGGTTTTCAGAAATAGAAGAGTTAATAGTTTTATTTTTATCAATAAACAAAATGAGTAAAAAAAAAAAAAAAAAAAATCTATATTTTTAGTGTGACCACCTATTGCCTTCAAACTGCATCAGTTCTTCTAGGTACACTTGGTTTTTGAAGGAACTCGGCACGTAGGTTGTTCCATACATCTTGGAGAACTAATCACAGATCTTCTGAGGGTGTAGACTGCCTCAAATCCTTCTGTCTCTTCATGTAATCCCAGATAGATTCAATGATGTTGAGATCAGGGCTCTGATGTTTTTCGACATTGTCAGCCTCTTTAAATATATCTTTTGGGTGAAACTTCAATTACAGTAAATCTGACATTTAATTATACATGCCTTATTTTAAATTCATTATGCAGGTTCTGTTAGTTTGTGGATCAAGCCATAAGTTGGCAGCAGTGTCAGAGCCAAGTACCTGTGTCTACTCCATGACCTTTAAAACTCCTCTAGTTTGTCACCCACATTCACTATTAGGTAAGATGGAATACTTGTTTTTACTGACTGGGGCTTCTTATTGTGAGAATCACTGATGGGCACTCTTTTGGTCATAGTGTATCCGACACTGAATACAGAGCTGCGCCAGAGGTGGGATGAAATCGAGCAGTCTTTATTTGATGAGCTGATCACTGAACAGGTACAATCACAAAAGTATATGACATGTCATTCATATTGAAAACTATTTGTTATTCTGTGTTTTTTTTTTTTTTTTTTTTAAGATATTTTCTTGTGTTAAAACAACATATATGTAATTTATTGTATGCATATAAAGCTAGCTATTTAACCCAATTGCCTGATCAGTGTGTGATTTGCAGCCTCAAGGAAAAAATAGGGACACAAGCAGGCAAAAGCAACTACAGCATGACCAGAGCAGCTTCTGTTTTCAGAGCCCCTAGGCTGCTCTGGGGATCCATTATCTGCACATAAGTAAGTCCCCAAAGATGCTTGAAGACCCCGCCAGAGGTTATTTTGCTTTAAATCCAAAACTGGCAGATATAATAAAAATCAATCTTGCTATCTTTTGATTAAAACATAATTGCGAGTATTTACACAGTAAAAAAGCATAAGTACCCGAATCGGCCTCATGTACAGCTGCACTCAGATGGGAAACAGGGGGTCAGCACTCTGAGCCAGTCAGTGCTTTACTGCATACATAAACTAGGTTTACAGGAAATGGAAGCACAAGGATGGCTTCATAATTTGTGCTGCTGCTGCTTCATTGTGCAGTCACAGGATGGGGTAGGTTCTGGAACAGGCTGTACCCACATGGAAGAAAAATATATTTTAAAAATATTCTTCCCAAATATATTGCCATATATTTGAAATGCTACAATCTTGGCCATATTCTATCTATCTATATATATATATATATATATATATATATATATATATATATATCTCTATCCATTCAGTCCTATCTGACCCTTGGCGATTGCATGGACCGTCACTCGTAAGCGACTTTTTCCATGAATTCTCTTAGCAATTATTTTACAGGGTAGGTTGCCAGGTCTTTCCCCAATCCCTACCATGCAGGAGATCCCGCATGGCTAGGGATGAAACTGGGACAATTTAGACAGGAGCCAAGGAACCTGCCAGCATGTCTTTGGACTGCATGTTGAAATGCGTTTTATTACAAAATATATGAAAAATATATTTTTAAAAATACATTTCAAATGTACTGTATGTCTTTAAAAATACAAATCTACATTTTTGGAATGCATTTACAAATATAAAAAAAGTAATTAACATATATTTTTACATATATGTAAAAAAATAAAAAATCATAAGAATATATTTTAAGAAAAAATATTTAAAAAAAAATATTTTTAAATATATTCTTCAGATTTTGTTTAACATATAAAAAAGTGTCAGGGGGGCTGCATTATCTGGACGTCTGACCACCGCTGGTGGTCATCCTTTACAGTATCTGGTCAGTGTTCTATTCTATTTTACTGCTTTGTATTCATTTTCATGCTGCATCTTCAATAAACCTAGCTCATACGGTATTACACTATGTGGTGTCCCTTATTGGGCTCTCTTCTATGAGAGTCCCCACTTGCAGAATCTGCCTTAAAAGGGGACCCCGGATGGTGATATGCCTGAGATGCGCTTATGAAATTTGAAGCACATACCCAAGGGACGATCTGGAAGGTGTAGGATTCTATCTCTATCTTTGGCAACGGATGATCGTTTTCTGATATTACAGGATAAAACCCACATGCGTTTTTTTTGACGCACTTCTGGTGAGTGCGTAATTCTTACCTCAGAGTCACCGTGTGCTGCACAGAATCTTATCCCACGCACCTATTAGGATCGTTTGGATCCCCACTTCTGATTTATTTCAAGACTATTATTCATCTCATCTAACTTCACCGCAGTGTGATTTGATATTGGCACTTTTGAATTTTATATGTTATTATAGCGCTGCACCTTATATATGGTCTTTATATATATATGTTTATGTATTTTAATATATTTGTAAATGCATTCCAAAAATGTAGATTTGTATTTTTAAAGACATACAGTACATTTGAAATGTATTTTTAAAAATGTGTGTGTGATATGGCCAAGATTGTAGCATTTCAAATATATTTTTCTTCCATATGGATAATGCCTTAGTTCATCTTTCAGATGTTTCATGCTACTTCAATATTTAGGGTGTAAATGCTCACATTCTCCAACCCTCAAATTTGTCCCCCCTGCGCCATTTATTTGTGTAGTGGAATTCTTCTTCCTGTTTTAGTTTTGAATTTGGCCTACTAAGTCATCCATTCACAGGATCTGTGATTGGAAAGACTACTAGACCACCTGTCACTGCATTAGAGGGACTTGTAGATTTCAATGGAGCACAAAGTGCAAAGATGTCACTGCACTTGTACGTCATTGTTCAACTCCTCCAGCCCCATAACGGTAGGACAGTACTTCAGTACTGATCAGGCGCTGCGGGAAGAATCTCCAGAAGCCTCTGCATTGCATTTGTGATACATTGATTACAGTTGCAATGCTCTTCAGGCTTCAATACAAAAATGTCTTAAGTTCATATTTTTTATGACTGTGGTTGCATTTATAATATTTTTTTCAGAAGGTGGACTATGTCTTAAATGCAGTGTAGTCTGAAGGTAGGTTTTTTGGATCTGACTGTGTTGTGCTAAAGGTTTGTCTGGTTCATAAGACGTAAAGAACATGACTGTCGGGTAGAACAGTTCCCAATAAACTGTATGTGTATTTTGCCAGAATTCAGGTTTAAAGAAAATCTGTAGTGATCTAACATAAAGCTTACTAAAGGCACACTTTTTATCAGCACTGGGAAACTCCACTGCATGAAACACCCAGGAAAAGAATTGACATACTAATTGAGATTGAGATTGTCATTTAACTGTTTGTTGTCACTGAGACAAGAAGAGAGCAGACACTCTCCAATAGGGACACAGACGGCAATAAAACACTTGTTAGCAGAATGGAGTCGAATAGAGCTTCTAACCGTTTGCCTTTGTTCTCCTATTGGCACGCTTTCCTGGCTTAGTGTAAGTGCTGCACTTTTAGTAAATTGACGTTAAATATTATGTGTTTGTCTGATCTGGTTTAGGTTCTGTTGTCTGAGGTACATGCTAAATCTGTTCATGTTTTGTTTATTATTTGTGCTCAGGGTTACAGGAAACTGCTCCGAGAAATATTTCAAGAAGCTAATTACTTAAAGTCCACAGGACGCAAAAGTGAAGAAAAAGAAAACCAGACAGAGCCTAAGGTGTTTGAGACTCTGGAGCAATGTAGTGTGGTATGTCTAGAATCAGATCACTAATGAGCATCCTAATTTCCTGGCTGTCATGGTGATTTCTTGTGGTCGGTACTGTCTGGATCACTGCCCTGATTCAAATAAAACTTTCAGTACCGCTCTAAGCTAAGACAGAGATCTCCCTGCCGGTTGCAGTGAAATGCACCAGAGGTGTAAGAGCATTATCGAAGAAGAAAAGGCACCGCTCACCAACCCAGTACATTAGTATGTGGATGAATGTGGCATCAGCCAGCACTGCTCCAGCCATGCCCCCTGACACAGTTCACCCCGTCTATCAGGGGCTTGGTCTGGCCAAGCCCCCCGATGGGTGGGGCAAAACACGTCAAGGGGTATGGCTGGAGCAGCACAGGCTGAGGCCACATTCATCCACATACTAATGTACTGGGTTGGTAAGCGTGGCCTTGTTGTCTTTTTGATACTGCCCTGGAACAGACACACAGTGGTAGCTGTGACCTCACTAACTGCATCGCTTTTTTCCAGGTCAGTGATTCAGAAAGCATTGATACCAAAAGATCAGCATGATATCGAAGTTCCTAGTATTTACAGTGACGGGCATCTTTTTTTTTTTTTTTTTAATCACCACCGAAATCCATTAATGTTCAAGCCGTCTAAGTATTATATTTAATTGAAAAAGAGCTAGCTTATTTACTGAGCAACAGTGCTAAGTGCCTTTTGATTGGCCCAGCACTGTCACATTGGGCCCAGGAAGCAGTCCATGGTCCTTAAACTCTGACCTGGCTGGTGAATGGACCAGCGGGGTAGCAAGTATAGGTGCTGCTGGGGGAGGGTGAACTAATTGAACCTTCTATGAGCAAACACTAGGTCACTTTTAGTGCTTGCAGTTTTTGACTAGCACAAAGACACAGTCCCCATGGCTGTATTATTATTTGTAGCTGTAAACCTCTTGTTAAAATGAGCTTGATGGAATTAGTTGCTTACTCATAAAGATTTCCATTAAAAGCTTTGACAGCAATGCTTTATACACTATTCCAGAATACAGCAAAAAACTGGCCATGCTCCTCTGTAGCTGGCTAACGTGTTATTGTACCAATAAAATGCATTATTAGCAGTAACATTTTTGGGTTTCATGCGGCTCCTTATGCATAATCCTCCAAATGCCACAATAATTCTGGCTTTGCATGAAAACGTACCTTTTATTGTCAGTAAAAAATGCAGCATTGGGTGCTGTCACTGATGACCTTATGTGCCACTGTATTTCCTTTAAAAAATATAGTGTTAGAAGCACATTCACAGGTGACAGAATAGAATTGTTACAGAAAAGCAATTACTCTCAAGGCAGGTATTACAGCCTATAAAATGTGCTCTGTTGGGGGAGCCTTAGTTCCAGTGAAGGACTACTAGATCTTGAAACAAGAGTTTAATTTATTTACATATAGGGTGATAAGTAAAAAGAATAGGTTAGTGGGGAGATGGGGGACTGGAGAAAAAAGGTGGACTTCTATCTAGTCTAACACACACATTCTCCCTTAATCTCCCATACCAGGGCCCCTTTTGTCCAAACTTGGGACATACCCTCAATTGGGTGTTGCTAATCACAGTCATTGAAGACCTCTTGAACCAAAGGTCGTAAAAGTTCATCCCTGTCCCAGGCTCAGAGTGGATCAGCAGATGTCCACATGATCCCTTGCTTCCCAGGAAGCATGCTGTCATTCTGGCCAGGTTTGGGCAGGAAACACCTCGGTGGTCCTACTTATCAATGTGTTGATGATCTTATGCACTCATCTAGCCTTCTTTGTTGCTGGCTTTGCAATCTTCATCTGACCTAATACATAGTCCAATGCAATTTGCTTCTAGAGAAGCCATATTTTAGTTCATGTCCAAGAGGCATTGATATCAATTTTTATCAAATATTGCTCAGCCTGTTGTGTGCGCTAAAGCGGTAGTAAACCGTGTATAAAACAAAAAAAACCTGCAAGGTAAAGGCATAATGTGCTAGTATGCATTGCATATTAGTACATTATGAAGGACCTACCTTGAAACTAAGCCTTCCAGCAGACGCTGTCGCGGCTTCAATCTTCACCCGATCTTCCTTCCAGGTTCGTGAGCTCTGGCCGGCTGACTGGCCGAGCCTCGATGACGTCACTCCACCACATGCGAGAGTCCTGGGTAACGGCACAGTGCTCTGAAGAAATGGCATGGGTATTCCGTTCCTTCAGAGCGCATGCGCCGCATATCAAAATGAGCTAAATTCTCCTAAACGGTCCACATTTTAGGAGATATTAATTTTTTCATAAGCTTACCTGTAGGTAAAATTATTAAAGAGGAGTTTACTACCACTTTAAGGTGTGTGGTCACCTTTCACCTGCATATATAGGAACAACTGTATTTTATTCTGCACTGAACCGCAAAATGGCCAGTTGACATTTTTAAAGCCTAGCTCCAAGTTTCATTTACCTTTTTAAATAGTTCAGTTGGACCTAGCTGGTCCAAACAAACTATTTCCTTCACTAATACAGGAGTCCACTGTCACCACAGTATAATTTGTATGTAGCATAACTATGTACAGTATACAGCGTTGCATTTCGGCAGTGTTACAGAGACTTCCCATCCTGTTTCCAGATCAAAAATGAGTCAGGCTGAGCACTGCTCAGACACAGAAAGCTTTGTATTTTATGAATAAATACAAAGTTTCCTCTGAATGGCTGAGTTGGAAATTGTGATATCAGCTACCCACCTCTCCACCTCCACAGAGGGAGCCTTGAATTTATTCATAAAATGAGGCTTACTGGGATTGGCTGAATAGTGCTCATCAGTTTGGTTTTGTCCTGGGATTGGGACAGGAAGTGCCTGTAATGCTGCCAGAACACAGTGCTGTATACAGTATGTAGCTACTGCTACATACTGTTTATACAGCACTGACAGCCGTCATATGTAATAGTGAAGGAAATAGTTTGTTTGGACCCGCTTGGAGTTGGGCTTTATTTTATTTATTGATTTTTTTTTATTTCTAGGTACATGGTGAACTCTCTGAGGAAGTTAAGCGTCTCAAGAGCATTTTAGACAAAAATGGGATTTCTTATTCTAAAACTGGTAAGCAATTCCTGGGATTTTAATTGAGCATATAAATGGCTTTATCGAGAGTTATAGGTTACTAAAGTTGGCCATACATTAGTAGAATTTTGTTTTAAGAATGTTTAGTCAATTTTCTAATCTTTATGGGGTCTTTTAAAGCTTGTTTTTTACCACAGTGACGAGAAAATTCAAAGGGGCAGGATAGAAAATGTTTCTCAAACTAATTTCTAAGTATATGTACAGTGCCTTGAAAAAGTATTCATACCCCTGAAAATGTACCACATTTTGTCATGTTATAAAATACATTTTACGTTTTTGGTTGTGTGATAGACCCACACAAAGTGGCACTTATTTGTGAAGTGAAAGGAAAATGATAAATGGTTTTTAAAATTTTTTACATTTATCTGAAAAGTGTGGTGTGCATTTTTCAGCCTCCTTTACTCTGATACCCCTAACTAAAATCTAGTGGAACCAATTTCCTTCAGAAGTCCCCTAATTAGTAAATAGTCCACCTGTGTGTAATTTAATCTCAGTATAAATACAGCTGTTCTGTGAAGCCCTCAGAGGTTTGTTAAAGAACATTAGTGAACAAACAGCATCATGAAGGCCAAGGAACACACCAGACAATTCAGGGGTAACGTTGTGGGGAAGCTTAAAGTAGGGTTAGGTAATTAAAAAAAAAAGAAAAAAAAGTATCCCAAGCTTTGAACATCTCATAGAGCACTGTTCAATCCATCATGCGAAAATGGAAAGAGTATGGCATAACTTAAAACCTACCAAGATATGACCATTCACCTAAACCAGGGGTAGGCAACCTGCGGCTCTCCAGCTGTTGCAGGACTACAAGTTCCATCATGCCTCTGCAAGTCATGACTGTAACTGTCAGTTTTGTAATGTTGCAATGCCTCATGGGAAATGTAGTTCCACAACAGCTAGAGAGCCGCAGGTTGCCTACCCCTGACCTAAACTGACAGGCCAGGCAAGAAGAGCATTAATCAGAGAAACAGCCAAGAGGCCCATGGTAACTCTGGAGTAGCTACAGAGATCCACAGCTCAGGTGGGAGAATCTGCCCACGGGACAACTATTAGTCGTGCACTCCACAAATATGACCTTTATGGAAGAGTGGCAAGAAAGCCATACGAAGTCTCATTTGCAGTTTGCGAGAAGCCACGTGGGGGACACAAAAAATGTGCAAGAAGGTGCTCAGGTCAGTTGAAACCAATATTTAACTTTTTGGCCTAAAAGCAAAATGCTATGTGTGGCGGAAAACTAGCACTGCACGTCACCCTGAACACCCCATCCCCAACGTGAAACGTGGTGGCAGCATCATGTTGTGGGGATGTTTTTCTTCAGCAGGGAAGCTGGTCAGAGTTGATGGGAAGATGGATGGAGCCAAATACAGGGCAATCTTAGAAGAAAACCTGTTAGTTTGCAAAAGACTTGAGACTGGGGCAGAGGTTCACCTTCCAGAAAGACAACGACCCTAAACATACAGTCAGAGCTACAATGGAATGGTTTAGATCAAAGCATATTCATGTGTTAGAATGGCCCACTCAAAGTCCAGACCTAAATCCAATTGAGAATCTGTGGCAAGACTTGAAAATTGCTGTTCAGATGCTCTCTATCCAGTCTGACAGAGCTTGAGCTATTTTGCAAAGCAGAATGGGCACAAATTTCAACCTAGATGTGCAAAGCTGGTAGAGACATCCTTAAAAAGCCTTGCAGCTTGTAATTGCAGTGAAAGGTGGTTCTACAAAGTATTGACTCCGGGGGGCTGAATACAAATGCAAGCCACACTTTATAGATATTTATTTGTAAAACATTTTGAAAATCATTTTCCTTCCACTTCACAATTATTGTGTTGGTCTCTCACATAAAAATCCCAATAGAATACATTTACGTTTTTGTTGTGACATGACAAAATGTGGAAAATGTCAAGGGGTATGATTATTTTTTCAAGGCGCTGTAGTTT